CCCCAAAACCCCAAAACCCCAAAACCCCTGCTGTTAAAGTATTGGGTCATATATCGATAAGAATACGATTAATAAAAATAAATACTATATTTATCAAAACTAAAATAATGTCATTAATACTACCAAGATTATATTTAGGAGATATCGAAATAGCAGAGAGCCTAGATACACTTAAAGACATGAAAGTTACTCATATTCTTTGCACCACTTGCACAATTGATGACAAATATCCAGATGTATTTTATCCTCAAATTCTTTAATTATTTTTCATGTAGGATTTTAAGTATATGGTACTAAAGCTATAAGACAGGTTCCATGAAAATCTTCTACTGCATTTTGATTCTGCTCTTGATTTTATTAAAGAAGCATTATAAAATAATGGAACTATTCTAGTTCATTGGTAAAATGAAAAGATCATATTTATTTTATGATAGTAATGCAGGAATCTCAAGAAGTGCAAGTTTTATTATTGGTATTTCATACAATTTCTTTACAGAGTTTATCAGCTTATTTGATCAGAGAACATGGCCATGATTTCTAATCTGCTTATGATTTCGTTCTATCTAAGAGACCTTGTGTTTAACCAAATCCAGGTTTTATGAACCAACTAAAATATTACGAAAAAGATTTGAAGGAATTGAGAGAAAAATCTCTATCTCAATAAGAGGAGGTTAAATAGCAAGTTCCGGACTCGATTCTTGATCTTCTAAGCAAACCTCAAGCACCATTGCAAATTCCTACTGACTAGTTGCCTCAACATATAAAGACTACACAAATTTAAGAGGAATTAAAGTAAGAGAGTGAACCTGAGTCCAAATAGTATTCTTGCAAAAAATGCAGAAAAGTACTGTTCACTTAGGATAATGTTGAGGAACATATATCGAAAGTTAAAAATCACAACGTAAGAAGAGGTGAACGCATAGCTGTAAGCCTCTTTAGTTTGTTGATATATATTTATAGGCAGTAGATGAGTGCTCTTCAATCTTCATCTAGCAATTGGAGTGGATAGCACTTGATGAGGAATCTTAGACTGGGAAAATTTCTTGTCCAAAGTGCAATGACAAGTTAGGATCCTATTCAGTCTATGGAAGTTAATGTTCTTGCGGCAAATGGAATGCACCAGCATATTAGATTCACAAATCTAAGTAAGAAATTTCATAATCTCACTTATATATATATAGAGTTGATGAATTGACTAAGTTTACATTTTGATGATATATGTACTTCAAAATGGACATGATAAGTCTTAAATTAGATTAATTAGTAAACATTTTTATTTTACTAGCAACCTGTTAACATATATTTTATGCATGGGGTTTTGGGGTTTTGGGGTTTTGGGG